AGCAGTGGACGTCATAGCATGAAACCTTCTTTGCTGTCTCCTTTTCTGAGTTCTTGTTTCTCCCATTGGTCTCCAACCACTCATGGGAAACTTTGGATGTGACACTCCTTACCATCCCAAATGGGATGGTATTGGAGGTTTCACCATTCTTGACTGGACTAGTTGCATTTCTAGCCTTACTCTTGGGCCATGATGCTACTGCTGATATCCTCCATATGGTCTTGCCAATTGTTGATGCCCCCCATATGGTCTTCCAAGTTGTTGATGGCCACTATGTGATGCACCAAATTGCTGCTGATGGCCATTATATGGCCTAGTCAGAACCTTTGGGTTTCCATAAGGCTTAGAACCCTTATGTTGATTGAGCATAGTCCTCACATTCCGAGCTCCAACCAAGCATGGATGAACCGGTGCTCCCTGGAATAAGAATGGAGCATCATCCTTACCATAGTCCTCTGCAAGTCCAAAACTTCCAGGATCTGTTCCATCATAGAACAAACAATCGTTATCAAAAATTTGTAAATCTCCACTTCCCATAGTATTAAACCTCAGGCCAACATCATTTCCAATTTGTTGAATCCCATTAATCACAATAGCCTTAGTTTTTTCTTTCTCAGAACCACATTTAAAACAGATGAAACTCTCACTTGGTTCCTTTTGAACTCTTTTTCCTTTCGCTTCTTTTGCTATTTTCTCCAGCCTTTCCTTGTGAAGTTTTTCCAACTCCACCAACAAAACTCTAGGATTTTTCCCTTTTTTCTTCTGATCATTAGCCACCATATTGATTTCCACCATACTAGGAAATGGATCAATGTCAACTGCCATTACTCCTTTATCTTTCTCAGCATATTTCAACATTCCTTTCTGAATTAAATCCTGCACACAATTGCGAAATGTAACACAATTATTAGTAGAATGTCTGAAAGAATTATGCCATTTGCAATATCCCTTGCCAACTCTGTCCCTTTCTTTAGGAATGTTGTGGCCTGGAGTTAAAGTTAAAAACTTATTTGTTAACAACTTATCAAACAATGCATCTGCTTTAGACAAATCAAAAGAATATTGTCTATGTGATATAGCCCCATTCTTTTTGGCTGGTTGTGTTGCTGGCATGCTTACAGGTTGGTCTGTCTTTCTTAATGTCTCACAAACCACAGGGTTTTTACCTATTACTTGGGCAACATCTATGTTAACTTCCATGTCAAATTCGACTTCTTGATAATAAGTGCCTAATGAAGCTGCATTTCTTTGTTGTTCTTCTCTGAGAATGGCCTCATAACTAGTTGCCCTTGAAGACAACTCGAATAAATCCCTAAACATCATGCCTTCAAATTTTTTCCTAAGCTCAAAATCTAAACCATTTTGAGCTAATCTTATTATTTCTATTTCAGGCATGTATACATGACAGCGGTTTTTTGCTTTTTTAAACCTGTCCATGTACTGCTTTGCACTTTCTCCTTGTCTTTGTTTAAATTTTGACAAGTCCACCATTGTCACTTCAGGTTCAGTTCTAAAAAACTGAGCATGAAACTGATTTTCCATGTCTTGCCAAGTGTGAACAGAGTTCTCTGGCAAGTTAATAAACCAAGTAAATGCCACTTTCGACAAAGAATGAGGAAAGAGCTTTAACTTTAAATTATCATCATAACCAGGTTCTCCACACTGGAGTATGAATCTGCCCACATGTTCTATGGTTGATTGTCTTTCCTCCCCTGTGAATAAAGTAAACTCGGGAATTCTGTAATTCCTTGGAATGGGAATTGCTTCCATCCATGGAGGGTAAAGACTCCTAAACATTGGTCTATTTGGCCTTCTCAAGCCTGGACCATACATTTCCTGTATGATGTTCATTATTTGTTGTCTGTTGACTTGAGGCTCTAAGTGTTGCTGTTGCTGCCCTCCTCCTTCAACCTCCGGTTGGAAGTAAGGATTAGGAGGACCAGGCCCTTTAAGCCTTGGATGCATCATGTAGAGTTCAAAATATGGCTGAGGCATGGTATAATCCCTTGCATCTTGAGGCCTTACTTGATTAAATGGCCTATTTCTCTGTTCTGACATAACCTGATAACCAGGCCTTTCAAATGCAAGATTATCATACATTTATGGCCTTAGTTGCCCCCCAGGCCTCATTCCCATATTATTTACATTGTAATTAAACACTGGATTTGTATGATATATGGAAGGTTCCCTCTCAAACATTGGATTTATGTTCATTCCCTCCTCATATCTCTCTTGGAGTGTGGGAGGTCTATAAAATGATACGGGTTCACTTTCTTTTTCATGCTGTTGAGGGGCCATTTGGGGCTTAGGTTGTGCTCTTTTCCCTTGTGCTTCCTCTTCAATCTTTCTTGATTGACTGGGCTTGATGTTGGCTTTCTCAAACAAAGTCATTAAGTCATCAATCATCACTTGGTTCTCATATGCTGACATGGAACCAATTGCTTGCTGGGCATGCAGCAAAAGAGCCCTTCTTGAATCGACTGGTAGACAACTGGATTGGCCAGCTCTGGCCATATTTTGGCCATTTCCTTGGCCTATTTCTTGCCTGGCCACTGAATGGCCATGAATTAAGTTGTCTTGTACTCTTTCAACTCCATCGTTCAACACTTCTTCATCTTCGACCATTTTCTCAGGATCTTCAAAGACTTTATGTTGTTTCTTCCTAGACATCACTCCAAATTAGACAGGTCCCACTGGGCGTGCCAAAATATGTTAGCAAAAAATCTGGTCTGGGCCAAATCGACAGATGTGATTTGACAGAAAACCCAGAATTTCACAAACAACAATAGATCAAACAATTGTAGTCTGAACGTTCTATGCCTTGACAGATTCAAGGACTTCTTTGGAGGCTGTAATGTGAAGAAACAAGAAGGAATATACTGAAAATCAATTGTTGAACAAACAAACTTGGAATTTAATCAGTAAAATTAAACTTCCAGTTCAATGTACATGACAATCGACGGAGAATTCTTAGTTACAGAAACTAAACTACAGATAGACTACTCCTAAGTAAGAACTAAGTTAAGTTGCTCCTAATGCTATAAAGGTTGTAAATTTGTTTGAAGATCCTCCTAACTTCGAATTTCCATCTTTCATATTGCTGGTCTTCAAACTCCATTGCTGCTCTGTTGCCACGTGTCCCATCACATAGCCAACTACTTCCACTTCAGTGCCCATGATCTCTGCAACTGCCAGTAACCGCTTCACTGTTGCAGCTTCTCTTCTTCTAGGAAACATGACACGTATCCTGTATATCTTGTATGCTAACTTTATGGCTTGACACCTGGGCCATGTTTGGCCACGTTCCACTTCATTACTAGACGAATCGACAGGGAAAAACTGCAACGGCCACGTCTATCTCTTTGACCATTTCATTTCTATCACTTGCTCTGTATTCTAGGCCTCGTATTCACCCGCTTTTCACTTGTAAAGTTGTGGAAACTCGTAGCCTTTAAACCTAGCATCCGCTGGACCAATTCTTTGCATTTGTTACATACAATCGACAGAGAATATGCAATTTTTAGTGTCAACAAAATCCTAAACCCTGGATTATTCAAGGGAAAGTATCTGAAATTTGATAAAGTTAACCTGTAACAGTAAACTAAAATATTTCTATTAAACAACCAAATTTGCAATCAAAAACTTTATTTTACAAACAAATTATATATGTGATGGAACCTAAACCAAAACCCTAAACCCCGAATTACTCAAGGGAAAGTATCTGAAATTTGATAAAGTTAACCTGTAACAGTAAACTAAAATATTTCTATTAAACAACCAAATTTGCAATCAAAAACTTTATTTTACAAACAAATTATATATGTGATGGAACCTAAACCAAAACCCTAAACCCCGAATTACTCAAGGGAAAGTATCTGAAATTTGATAAAGTTAACCTGTAACAGTAAACTAAAATATTTCTATTAAACAACCAAATTTGCAATCAAAAACTTTATTTTACAAACAAATTATATATGTGATGGAACCTAAACCAAAACCCTAAACCCCGAATTACTCAAGGGAAAGTATCTGAAATTTGATAAAGTTAACCTGTAACAGTAAACTAAAATATTTCTATTAAACAACCAAATTTGCAATCAAAAACTTTATTTTACAAACAAATTATATATGTGATGGAACCTAAACCAAAACCCTAAACCCCGAATTACTCAAGGGAAAGTATCTGAAATTTGATAAAGTTAACCTGTAACAGTAAACTAAAATATTTCTATTAAACAACCAAATTTGCAATCAAAAACTTTATTTTACAAACAAATTATATATGTGATGGAACCTAAACCAAAACCCTAAACCCCGAATTACTCAAGGGAAAGTATCTGAAATTTGATAAAGTTAACCTGTAACAGTAAACTAAAATACTTCTATTAAACAACCAAATTTGCAATCAAAAACTTTATTTTACAAACAAATTATATATGTGATGGAACCTAAACCAAAACCCTAAACCCCGAATTACTCAAGGGAAAGTATCTGAAATTTGATAAAATGAACCTGTAACAGTAAACTACAACAATTCTATTAAAGAACCAAATTTGGAACCAAAGCATTATTTTACAAACAAATTATATATTTGATGAACCCTAAACCCTAAATTATTCATGAATAAAGATCAGAAATTTTACACTAAAATTTAAAAAATAAAAATTAAAAAATTAATACAACTATAAAACCCAGAAATCGAATACCTTTAACTTTGCAGGAAAGCTCTTCAGAGATCAAAGACATAATGTGTGTTATATGTGATGAAACCTAAACCAAAACCCTAAACCCTGAATTATTCAAGGGAGAGTATCTGAAATTTGATAAAATTAGCCTGAAACAACCAAATTTGGAACAAAAGCTTTATTTTACAGACAAATTATAAAGGTGATGGAAACCTAAACCAAAACCCTAAATTATTCGAGAATAAAGATTTGAAATTTTACAATAAAATTTTAAAAAAAAGTCATAAAACAACCACAAACCCAGAAATCAAATACCTTTAACTTTGTAGGAAAGCTCTTCAGAGATCAAAGCCCCAAACCCAGTATACGTAGTCGTACAAACCGAATAGATCTTCTTCTTCGCCTCTTCTTCACTGAAACCCAAAAACATCAATTCATTCAAATCCCCGCTACATTAACATGTATAAGACAAACATATATATGTATGAATTACCTTCCGAGGACTTGAGAAAGGGTATTGACGTAGGAATTGATCATATCGTCTTCGGAGGGTTTGGGGTCGGAGGGGAACTCCATGACGATGAGCCAGTGCTCGTAGTCGCAGCCGTCAAGAAGAATGGTCTCCTTGGGGGGCCGGTTGCTCCAGTTCGGAGATGGGTCGTTGAGGGGAGAGTAGCCAGAGGTCTTGGACCGAGTTGGGATCGTCGATACTGAGTTGGGGACCAGTTGGGGGTGTTTGTGGAGGAGAGGAAGAGCGAATCGAGATCGAGAAGAGGATGAAGAGAGAGCGCGAGAGACAAGGGAGGCTACAGTGCGCCGGGTGGTGAAGATCGCCGCCATGGCTGTGGACTGTATTAGCTCTCGAGTGAGTCGGTGAGTGCTCGATAGCATTTTCATTTCCGCTAGAGAGTATCGTTAATACGACGCCGTTTGGAAATTTCCCCCCAATTTTTTTTTTTTTTTTTTTGGGTAAATTACACTGACTCTCCTGTGGTTTGGTCCAATTACATTATATCTCTTAATGTTCTGAAAATTATATTCTCACTCCTGCAGTTAATAGTCTCGTTTCACAAACCCTCTACTCATATAAAAGACAATAACTTCTTATAGAAATATAGAGAAAATTATAACCAAACTAAACCAAATCAAATCAAACTAAGCCTTAAGTCCCATCAAATGGGGTCGGTTACATAAATTCTTCTCCACATGACCCTATCAAACGCCATTTTATTAGTCAAATTAAGTAGATTCATATCTCTATTTACAACGCTAGCCAACGTTAATCTAAGTCATCTACTGTTACGGTATCGCATCTCTTCACTACTGCCTCTGTTGGTCTCCATTGAATATGTCGAAACCATCTCAATCGATTCTCTCTCAACTTATCTTCTATCAGTGCTACTCCTACCTATTCCCAAATACATTCTGATATGGGTAAGCCCATAAAGATTATAGCCCACCATTTAAGGCCCAATACATAACTCAAATACTAAAGCCCAGCATGGCTAAGCCCCACGTAGCAACGAGAACCAATGACATCAAAACACATGGCAAGAGAAGGGCAAGCCACATAAGCAGACAAAGATCTGCAAAGTCATTACCACTGCACATCGCCATTAATAAAGCCCCTAACAGCATTTATTGCAATAACCCATCTCCGTTAGGACAGAACAGCTTCACCATGAACAAGGTAAGCTAGAGCATAGACTTTCGGCCAAGGTGACAGGTCGGAAGGGACAATGAAATAATTACCAGAGGATATAAGCAGACATCGAAGACGGGAAGAAGGTTAAGCTTTCTATCTCTAATTCATCTATACATTCTACTTCTCTCTCTAACTTGCTAGTCGGAGGGTTCGTTAGGGGACTCCCCGTTCCCCGTTGAACTCTTGTGCAGGTCTTCTGGTAGGCTTGGTCATTCGGACACAGGCTTGAGGAACGTGGATTAGTCCGACCCGTTCCACCTGGAACAAACAGTATTATCAGTTGGCACCGTCTGTGGGAAAGTTTTTGTTCCGCGCACCAGTTGTTCTCATTGTCGTCGGAGACCCTCTTCCCATAACCCTCTCCTACCGCTTGTGAAGGTGGATGGTCACAACTAGATCCATGGCTTCTCACCCCAATGTTGCCGATCATAAAGCCGACCCTTCCAATCCAAACAACCCACCACAGTATTTCACCGAGCTCACCAACAGCATTAACCGCGTGGCCGAGCAAAACCAAGCCCTGATTAATGCTCTACTCCAAAGAAACCTTCCTATGCCTCCTCCACCACCTCCAGATATCCCACCCAACCAAGAGCGAGCCCCGAGCCATACTATCCAGCAGCTTAATTCACTCAACTTGGAAGGCTTGCAATCCTCTCCCCCAGGTATGAACCTGTCACCCCGGGGCCCACATCCATCTATCCCGGCACCAACCCCTGAAGGAGAGGCCAGCAGCGCCCAGCTCCTGCTTTCTTCCGTTGGTGACAACATTCCTCTCTGGGACGCCGAACTCCGAGCCATGAAGCTCCAACTCCAAGGGGTCATGCAGAACATACAGCATAAACCATCTACCACAGTCAACTCCCCATTTGTTGCCTTTATCGGGGACAAACCTCTACCTCCTAAGTTCAAAATGCCTACGATCGACTCTTTTGATGGTACAACGGACCCAGTCGATCACATAGAAACCTACAGAACCCTCATGATCCTCCATGCATTCCTCGATGAAATCATGTGTCGGGCTTTCCCCTTGACACTCAAGAGGTTGGCTCGACTCTGGTTTAGTCAACTGCCAGTAGACTCTGTCTCCACTTTCCAGCATCTCAGTGACTCATTTCTCAGCCATTTCATTGGAGCCCAGCTCCAGCGGTGTTCGGCAAACCAGCTCCTCAACATCCATCAGACTAAGGGGGAGTTGCCACGCAGCTTTGTCACCCGCTTCAATACCGAAGCCCTGCAGGTGGCGGAAAACGATGACAAGGTCATCCTCACGGCATTCATGGCCCGCCTACGATCATCTGATTTCCTTTTCTCCCTCTCAAAAAACCCCACAACCTCCATGGCAACCCTTCTTTCCGAAGTCCAAAAATACATCAACGCAGAAGATTCCCTAGCCGCTCGCCAAGACCCTACAACAAAAAACCTGACCCCCAGAGAGAAAAGAAAGGACTCAGAAACCAGAAACACCCAGTACAATAACCAAACACCTTAGTATACTGACCGACCCCCCAGAGCCGATCGGTCAGCACCAGCCTGACCGCCCGGCCGGTTCGAACAATACACACCCCTTAATTCCCCCATGGAACAAGTCCACAATCAGATCCAATGAGACTACCCCCTGAAATGACCCCAACCATCACGATCTCCTTCCAATCGTCGAGACCAGTCCAAATATTGTCGTTTTCACCAGGACCACGGTCATAATACTTAGGAGTGTGTTAACCTCAAAGATCAGGTTGAGGGCTTGATACGTCAGGGACGTCTCAATCGGTTCACGGACACCTACCCTCAGCAAAGGCAAAGGACCGAACCCATAAGAAACAACCGTCGGCGCACTCCTCCCCGACAACCAGCACAACTTAACCCCAGCCATGATCGCCCCCTACAGCAACCCCGAGCACAAGGTAACCCCACCCCCCCCTGTTAGAGAAATTAGAGTCATAGCCCGCGGGCTTGCATGTGGAGGTCCATCTCGCTTGGCTCAGCGGGCAGAACTCAGAAAAATAAGACAAGGCTTGGACAAAGAAGTTGCCACATTAGACCGCCCTCCAAAACAGCCCAAACAGTGGATAGAGCCCATCACCTTTACGAAAGCCGATCGCACGGGCATCCGTTACCCCCATGACGACCCCTCGTCATTTCTGCCCTCCTCTCCAATTACAAAGTCAGACGGGTCCTCGTCGACAATGGCAGTTCTTCAAACATCATCTTCCTAAATGCCTTCCGCCAGTTCAAGATCGGGGAAGAAAGTCCATCTCCTCTCCAAACTCCGTTGGTCGGTTTCACTGGGGACCGGGTGACCTCCATCGGTTCCATCGATCTTTCCATCACCATCGGAGAATACCCACGGCAGACCACCAAGTTACTTACTTTTCTGGTCGTCGACTGTCCCTCCGCCCACAACATCATCCTCGGCCACACCACCCTAAATGCCTTCCAAGCTATCACATCCACTTTCCATCTTGCCATCAACTTCCCCACCAATCTTAGGGTCGGCATGGTCAGGGGAGAACAGACTGTGGCCAGGGAATATTATGTTGCCTCACTTAAAGAGGTCAAGCTCAAGGAGGCTATGATCATTGAAGGACTTGACGTTAGAGATGTGGACGAGCTGGTTAGAGGGGAACCAATTAAAGAGCTTGTCGAGGTCCTTATCGATCCTACCAACCCGGCAAAAACTACCAAGATCGGCAGTCAACTATCCTCCCAGGTCAAGGCCGACCTCACCGCCCTCGTGATTGAGCACAACGATGTATTTTCCTGGACCTACTCCGACATGCCAGGTTTTGACCCCTCCTTCATCACCTACCGTCTCAGCATTAAGTCCAATTTCTGACCCATTCGCCAGAAGCAGCGCATTTTTCACCCGGAGGGCAATAACCTTATTGCTTCTAAAGTAAATAAGCTCCTTGAGGCACAGTTTATCACAAATGTGGACTATCTCAGATGGCTGTCGAATGTGGTTCTGGGTCGTAAAAACAATGGTAAATTGCGACTCTGTGTCGACTACTCCGACCTCAACCGAGCTTGCCCCAAAGACAGCTATCATCTTCCTCGCATAGATCTGCTGGTTGACGCTACGGGCGGCCATCAAATGCCCAGTTTCATGGATGCCTTATCTGGATACAACCAAATTTTGATGCACCCGTCTGACTAGGAACATACCTTCTTTATCACCGACCGATGCACCTACCATTACCGTGTGATGCCATTTGGGTTGAAAAATACTGGAGCCACTTACCAACGGTTGGTTAATGCCGTCTTTCATCACTAGATAGGTTGGAACATGAAAGTATATGTCGACGACATGCTAGTCAAGAGCAAGCTCTCCACTGATCATCTGGCTGACTTGCGAGAGACCTTCACCACTCTACGAAAGCATCAAATGAAGCTCAATCCGGAGAAATACGCCTTCGGCGTAGAATCTAGAAAGTTCTTGGGTTTCATGGTCAGTTAGCAGGGCATCGAAGCTAACCCCAAAAAGATCAAGGCCTTAATTGAAATGCAGTCACCCAGAACGGTTAATGAGGTTCAGAGGCTTACTGGCCGAGTTGCCGCCCTCAACCGCTTCATTTCTCACGCAACGGACAAGTGTCTCCCCTTCTTCAAAGTTCTTCGGCAAACTTTTGAGTGGACGGCAGAGTCCGAAGAGGCCTTTCAGCAGTTGAAACAGTGCATGGCCAACCCCCCATACTTTTTCAGGCAATCACGGGTGAACCCCTCTTTCTCTATTTAGCTGTGTCAAACATCGTAGTCAGTGCAGCACTCATCAGGGAAGACAGCTTTGTCCAACGATCGGTCTACTACATCAGTCGGGCTCTCAGAGGCGCGGAACAAAATTACCCATTGTTAGAACTTGGCTTTAGTCACCACCTCCAGACAACTCCGTCTTTGCTTCCAAGCCCATTCCATAGTAGTCCTCACTGACCAACCATTAAAGAAGATAATGCAACAACCAAAGCTTTCCGGAAGACTTATGCAATGGTCGGTCGAGCTCAGCCAATTTGACATCTCTTACCGGCCTCGAACGACGATTAAAGGGCAGGCTGTTGCCGATTTCATCCTGGAATTCACTAATCCCGCTCCAACCACAGCTCCTCCGCCCCCGCCACTCCCCACCGAGCCAGAAGACCCCCACTCTTAGACCCTCAACGCCAACAGATCATCTCGCAAAAAAGACAAT